CCTGGTGGCTCACACCTGTAATCCCAATGCCTTGGGAGGCCGAGACAGGTGGATCACCTGAGATCTGGAGTTTAAGACCAGACTGGCCAAAAAGGAGAAACCCTGTCTCCGCTAAAAATACAAAATTAGCCAGGTGTGGTGGCGCATGCCTGTAATCCCAGCTACTTGGGAGGCTGAGGCAGGAGAATTGCTTGAACTCGGGAAGCAGAGGTTGCGTTGAGCCGAGGTTGCATCACTGCATTCCAGCCTGGGCAACAAGAGTGAGACTCCCTCTCAAAAAAAAAAAAAAAAAAGGAATGTAGCTTCTTGTACATTATTGACCAGGGGGTAGGACTGAATTCGGGATTTCAGGACATTGCTTCAGAGGGCATCCTGACTCCCTCTGGGCCAAGTGAGACCCGGTGGCAGGGCCCCAGCGGCTGCCCGGGGACCAACCCCTGGCTGAGTGCCACAGCAGCCAGCTCTGACGTCCGCGACCGGAAAGCACGCCAGATGCTTCTGTTGACGTTGACAAAGGGCTTTGCCAGGAGGCTCAGGCGCGGGCTGGTCCCCATCCTTCCTCTTAACCCCGTTGCGAGGCTGCCGAGGCCGCCTTCTGCGCGGGAGGACTGACCCCTGGCGACCGAGGCAGACGTGGCGGGCTTGGGGCTTGGACTTTTCTGAGCGGTGGTGCATCAGCCAACGCAGCCTAAGGAAGCTGAATAACGCAGGCTTCCTGCCACCCCACAGCCCGGGAGTTGGGAGGTGTGGCCGGTGGGGTGAGGGGTCCGAGTCCCACGGTCTAGGACGTTCATTTCTCCGAGGCTCAGTCTCTCCTCTGGTGGGACCATGTCTGGAAGAGCCCCTGGCTTGGCTCCTGGAGCTGGCGGCCAGGTGGGAACCCCCACGAAAGCTCCAACAGCTGCTGCTGAACCTAGCCCTCGGGAACCCGTTAGGGACAGCTCAGGCCGTCTCCTTGCAGTGGGCGAAAGGGCCCGGCCTGCGCTGCCCTCCTGCACCTGGACCACAGACCCAAGTGACGTGATGTTAAGAGGAAACGAAAGGTGACCAGGCGCGGTGGCTCACGCCTGTGATCCCAGCACTGTGGGAGGCCGAGGCAGGCGGGTCGCTGGAACCCAGGAGTCGGACACCAGCCTGGGCAACATAATGAGACCCGATCTCTGTACGAAATATTAAGAAATTAGCCGGGCGTAGTGGTACACACCTGTGATCCCAGGTACTTGGGATGCTGAGGCAGGAGGATCGCTTGAGCCCAGGAGACAGAGGCTGCAGTGAGCCGAGATTGCACTGCCACACTCCAGCCTGGGAGACAGGGTGAGACCCTGTTTCGAAAGACACAGAGAAGAGAAAGAAAAGAAAGAAAGAAAGAAAGAAGAAGGAAATAAAAGAAAGAAAGAGCGAGAGAAAGGAAGGAAGGAAGGAAGGAAGGGAGGGAGGGAGGGAAGGAAGGGAGGAAGGAAGGAGGGAAAAGAAAGAAAGAAAGAAAAGAAAGAAAGAAAACAGATTGCCACTTGCTACTTTAAAGATACTATTACCAAGGAAGGTATTGGCAGATCCAGACGGTTTCTGACCCTTGACTCCTCCTGCCCAGGGCTGGGAGTGGAGGGTCAGAAATGGGGACCTGGTCAGGGGAAGGGGGTGGATGCTTGGCTCACGTCGTACCTGGTAATTTAGAAATGCAGCAAGTCTAGTCATGTAGAACTCTGGTTTTCTCTCTCGTTGCTTATTCTTTTATTATCATTAAATGAATGTTAATGGGGAAACGCCGTGTGCACCTGGGCAGAGCCAACTGTTCATGTGCAGTGTGCTTGTCGCCCCCTGCCTGCCGGCTGCTGTCCTGGCCTGAAATATCCGCATCTTGGTCATGGTCCTCCAGAGCCACCAGGAAGATCCAGGAGCCAGGGCCACCCTCGGGTCGCCTTAGCAACAGCATCCATGATCAGACTTTAAGGCAACTGGGACCCGTGCTCCCTATGGGAGGCTGCAGGTTCACGTCGGTGTCTGGGTGAGTACATCCCCTAACCCTACTTTCTGGAAGGTGGTAGTTGGCTTCTAGGCACCCACCCACTGTATCCCAGCCTCTGCACAGCACTGGCATCACGGAGGTGTTCTGTTTTTGGATAAATCATGACTTACATGAAAAGATGCTCCACCTCCTGGCCGGCGTGTGGCGCTGTCCATGCTCTGGATTTTGGCCACAGCGAGACGTGTCCAATGGCTTCTCATGGCTGTTAGAGTTACATATCCCTGATAGCACACGTTGCAGAGAAAGATTCATTACTTTTTTTTTTTTGAGACAGAGTCTTGCTCTGTCACCCAGGCTGGAGTGCAGTGGCGCGATCTCAACTCACTGCAAGCTCTGCCTCCTGGGTTCACGCCATTCTCTTGCCTCAGCCTCCCAAGTAGCTGGGACTACAGGTGCTCGCCACCACGCACTGCTAATTTTTTTGTATTTTGGGGTAGAGACGGGGTTTCACAATGTTAGACAGGATGATCTCGATCTCCTGACCTCGTGATCCGCCCGCCTCAGCCTCCCAAAGTGCTGGGATTACAGGCTTGAGCCACCGCGCCCAGCCAAAAATGTCCATGACTTATAAAGTCATTAGTCAACAATTTCCCCGTATCGGCGGATCACGAGGTCAGGAGATCGAGACCATTCTGGCTAACATGGTGAAACCCCGTCTCTATTAAAAAATAGAAAAAAATTAGCCGGGCGTGGTGGGGGGCACCTGTAGTCCCAGCTACTCAGGAGGCTGAGCAGGCGAATGGTGTGAACTTGAGAGGTGGAGCTTTCAGTGAGCCAAGGTCATGCCACTGCACTCCAGCCTGGGCAACAGAGCAAGACTCTGTCTAAAAAAAACAAAAACAAAAACAAAAAACAAACAACAACAACAACAGACAATTTCCCTGTATCCAGGGAACATGTGAGGGACTGGGGTGCCAGGCACGTTTTGGGAGGCCCCACACAGAGCGTCTGGCAGCAGAGAGGGGAGCAGGAGGCCTCCACAACCTCTCAGTAATTCCACCTGCGCCTTGCTTTTGCCTTGGGTCAGTTTCCACCAACGCCCTGGAAAACTCAAGTTTGTGTTTTTACTTTCAGTGTTGACCATGTTTCCAGTCCCCTCTGCTCCGCCCCAGGCTACAGCAAAAAAGAAAAAGAAAGAAACATAGGCAAATATGAGATATGAATCAGAGTGAGAGCCAACAACAAATTCTTTTTTTTTTTTTTTTTTTTCGGAGACAGGGTTTCACTCTTGCGGCCCAGGCCAGAGTGCAATGGCGTGATCTTGGCTCACTGCAACCTCCACCTCCCGGGTTTAAGCGATTATCCTGCCTCAACCTCCTAAGTAGCTGGGATTACAGGTGCCCGCCACCACGCCCAGTTAATTTTTATATTTTTAGTAGAGACGGGGTTTCACCATATTGACCAGGCTAATCTTGAACTCCTGACCTCTGGTGATCCACCCACCTTGGCCTCCCAAAGTGCTGAGATTATAGGTGTGAGCCATTGTGATTGGCTCTGACAGCAAATTCTTTAATGGGGATGTTAAAGGTCAGAGTTACAGATTTGCAGTGAGACTATTGAGGCCTATGCAGTCCACGTCCAACTAAAACATTCCCCTGCTCTGACCATGCTGGGTAAATGTTCCCTGCACCCCGTTATGAGCTATTGGGGCCATTATTCATTGACTTTTTTTTTTTTTTTTTGAGACAGAGTCTCACTCTGTTGCCCAGGCTTGAGTACAGTGCCCTGATCTTGGCTCACTGCAACCTCTGCCTCCTGAGTTCAAGCAATTCTCCTGTCTCAGCCTCTTGAGTAGCTGGGATTGCACCCACCACCATGCCTGGCTAATTTTTTTTTTTTTTGAAGGGTAGTCTCACTCTTGTTGCCCAGGCTGGAGTGCAATGGTATGATCTCGGCTCACTGCAACCTCCATCTCCCGGGTTCAAGTGATTCTCCTGTCTCAGCCTCTTGAGTAGCTAGGATTGCGCCCACCACCATGCCTGGCTAATTTTTTTTTTTTT